GGTATTACTACTTGCTATAAGGAAATCCTTTCTGTTATCAGATGCTCCTATTGCGTTTCAGATGTCTGCCGATAATAAAATCACTCCACGAGATACCACGATGACGTTCACCTGTTTTGTGCTGTTTGATATGTGGAACGCGTTGAGTTGTAGAAGCTCGAGAAAAATGATCTGGCAGATAGGACTATTCAGGTACATTCCCTTGAGTGACGTGTGTCTGTGTATACTTGGAAGCTCCCTTTGTGGACACTTCTATTTAGCAAATGTTTCGGAGCACCAAGAAACAAATGTTAAATTTTCTTGCGAGAGACCACGGAAATGACGAAGGAATAGGGCATGTAATACTCAGACTCCAGTGCATACGCGAATCACAAGAATTGTAGCTTGTTTACTGGCGTAGGGAGCGATGCAAGATATCGGCCTTGAATTCCTAGTACCCTTGCTACCCAGCCATGGAAAAGATTGCTAAACGCAGCAAACCGTTTAGAGGTAAGCAAACCAGCCCTTTTGGCGTTTCTGCTGGGGCCGTATGCTGAATGTTGGGGAGGGGATGGGGTCCCCGAGGTCGACGGACTACTTCAACTCGGTCGGTACGGTAGGAGAGTGATGACGAAGTGGTGCAGCTAGGTCCAGCAGCTCCGCCAAAGGGCTGGTTTGCTTACCCCAGGACTAAGCCTTGGAGAGAGGACGGACCTGCGCGCAGGTCCGTCCTCTCTTTAAGGCTTAGTCCTGAGGTAAGCATCAAATTGAGGCGGTTTTAAGGACCGAGTTGAAGTAGTCCGTCGACCGTCGGGGACCCCATCCCTCCCCAACATTCAGCATACGGCCCCAGCAGAAACGCCAAAAGGGCTGGTTTGCTTACCTCACAGTTTGATGTCTTATTTGGTCGTCCATTCGATCGAGTCCTACATTCCTAGGTCCTGAGTGCTACATCACCTAAGTCACAGTTATTTAGTAGACTTATCTGTTAGAAAGTCACGAAAGAAGTTATGCTTCGGAAGTAGGAGAAAGCTCCTGGGAGAGTGGAACAGGGAGTAGTCCTCTGGTCGAAAAAAATATTAGGTTGGCAAGAAAGTTCTGCGACACTCTTTCTAAAATTTTCTTTTTTTCTGAAAAATCATAGGTAACATTTATGACTAACAAATGGTAGAGCATTCTCGAGGCTTTAATCCACGAGGTGGATATAAGTGCTGCAGTCAGTAGTTATCCAAGAAAATTCAAAAAACCCCGACCACTGGTAAATCCACACTCCGAGTCACTGTCTAGTACAAATGTCTCCATAACTGTGGATTCGTGTCAAAGACCAACACTATCTGCAATAGCTTCAATAGGCATGTCGTTCACCGCTACAGCGTGTTTCACCTTTACCAGCGCTTTCGATCTTTTGATATTTTTATAAGAAGCCAGCAGCGTCCTACACACTCCATTACAGGAAGGGCTTACGGAAGCTCACTACAAATTCTTCGTTATGGGCACCATTGTGTAGGTAGAGGTCTAGGCTGCGGAAACCAGAAGCTGGCCGAGGCAGCTCGTCAGGAGCCCTCGTACCGCGACAATATTTATTTCTTTCATGAATCACCATGATCCGAAATGAGCCCGGTAAGAAATTCTGGAGCTGCGGCAAGATTTCTTACCTCTCTTAGCGTATTCCCCTGGTCGAGCTATAAATGACTGCCACCTATCCTGGACCTTAAATCATCATCTTGATGACGAAATAATTAGACGATCAACTCCAACTCGAAAGTGAGGTCGCCTCCTTTCTCGACCCGCACTCCGCTGGGTTTTGGCAAAGGAGCATCAAGAAATTTTCTGAGCGTTGAAGACAAGTGGTGGACACTCATGGTAGATAGACCGGTCAGGAGTTGTAAACAAAAAAGATAAAATTAAAATCAAAAATTTGAAAAAGTGTCGCAGAACTTTCTTGCCAACCTGATACATGTATGCGTGGGGAAAATCCTGCTTACCGTCTCAATTGGAAGAATCGAAGAGCTCCTGTAATACGTTGCGGTGCAGTGTTTCTTTTCCAGCAGTTTCCAAATCCAAACTATTTCAGGAATCGAATGTTTTGCATCGCAGTCGGTGCCTCACTCGTCTGCCAATTGCTCGTCATTTTCTGGTCTCCATTGCAGCATGTTTTCCAAACGGAAGCACTCTCCCTAGTTGGTGAGTCCGATATTTTTTGTGGTTTCTATAAACATTACTTTATTTCGAGTGTAATTGGCAATGTATGCCACGCCGATGAAATCCGTACGGTTTCAGATCTGCTGTTGCTGACAACGATGACGTCTTCTGTTTTCATTTTTAACGAGACAAAAAAATATTTTGGCCTTCGGCGGACAAGTACCCCATCGATAGCCAAGACTGATAATGTCTTGTGATCTTTTCAACTTTAGTAGATTCTGTTAATAGCCGAATTTCCCGATGCCAAATGCGAGTGTTTGCTTTCGAGGTTTTATTCTCTTCCCTTTTACTTTTCCTCATAATTTTCTTCTTCTCTTTAACTTTTCTCGGTTTTCGTCCATGTCCTTTCTCTTCTTCTCCATTCAGGCTTCAAGATGCTCTATTTGTCTATTTCCATCGTTGAAAGCACTGAACACAAGGGCTGGAGGGTGGAGCGGTTTGACGACGTCATTGAACATCATTGGTGGACCAGACCCCTCAGCATCTGGGTGTGGATGGGCACCTTCCGACTCTCTTCCACCAATCACGCTCAATGACGTCACCAAAGCTGCTCCGCCCTCAAGCCATGGTGTTCAGTGCCTTTAAACTCTGATATTCAAAGAGGTTATTTATTGTCGCCGAGAAGTCAATGTTACCTTTCAGTCAAGCCTCAGAGCTCCCATATCATCATAATTTCTCGCTTAGATTCTACTAGAGCATTTGTTTATTTATTATTTGTTATATTTTGTGTGGCCATTAATTTATTGACAATCGTCTCGCGCTCATCTCAGAGTCAACTTTAGCCCTTATTTAGGCGTTAAATCGCCAAAGCTCCCAACATGAAACCTAGAAATTGTGCATTGATAATTTTGTTAGCGTCTCAGCGATGAATAGGTACAGAAAACCGTTTTGGGTAGAAATTTTCGTGTTGCATTGGTGTGCATAAATTATTCAAATTTGTTTTGTAAATTGGACTTGCTTTTCTTTGTGGCGGCGGAAAGCCAATGTTATACCAGTTTAGAGAATCTGTTTGTTCGTGAAGTGAAGTGCAAGCAGGGTCAACCGTCCATTCGCACTTTCGAACGAGGGGT